ATTTCAAACAAGATTTGTAATTATAACGGAAATGTAGTATATTCCGTGACAGGTGCGAATCACAGTCTAGAAGATAACTTTAACTTAGGTTTGTTTTGAATTTTGTGCAAAACTACACGAAGGATATATGCGCTAGCCGTCCCTAGTTTAGCAGTGATAGACTAGAGGGAAGGTAGCTAGTCAACATCACCCATCGCCAACTCTTGGGCTATTCTTTTACCAACAGATAGTGGTATCGACCGTCACATTATAACGCCCCCAAGGCTGAAAGGGTGAGCTTGTTTGGTGACAGGTATTCGAATCCGGACTCACAGCTTGCAAGTTGAACCACCTAACCATTAGATCATGCCAGGTCCTTTAACTTAGTAGCAGGAGTACCACTACAATAATAGTAAACAAAATTACTCTATGAACATTTCGGAATCCACCAACGACACCATCAACGATCTGTAGCACATACATTGATGATGATACAAAATACTTAAAAATACAGCTTCTCCATAAGACTAGAACAGATGACTATATGAAAATGAGGGGTACTCAAATATAAAACCAATGTTTAAAATGATTTACATAAAGGAAATTAGCTGTAACTAATATATATGTAGTTAAAAAAAAACATTATATGTATTAAGATAGTTGAAAGGGTTATTGTTTAATATCGGGTGTGCATTTATTATCAACAAGCTATTTTTAATGAGAAGCTGTAACTAGATGAGCATGAGGCTAGAATTTAAACATTTTTGGGAAATAGAGTAATTGTTTTCTTTCGCCGTGTATACGGAAACACGAGGACTCGAAAGTCTTTGACCAGTTCTGCTCAAGACTCTTTCATGTCGAAAGGCATGTAGTTATAATTGGCGCAACGTTTTGCCAATATAAGTGGCCTTGCCTCGTCACAGTATTACGATCAATAAAGGTAGGAAAATTTCAGTTCGAAACATATTGTGAATCCGAAAGGACGACTTGAAAACAATTAGTAGTTTAATTTGTGGATTAAAAGACTTCATTAGTTTTAAGTTAACCCTGACGGGTCTAATTTGCTTAAATAAAGAAAGGACAAGAATTAACGAAAATTTTGAGATAGTGCAGGGTTTTTAAAAATTCCTGCCGTGGTGCTACTTGTTGAAATTTTAACTTCCTTATTTGAAATACAGTCTTTTTTTTTTTTTTACATTTCAGTTGGTATAATCTTTTCATTGTAATCTATTTTAATGTGTTCGCATTAATCGTCATCATTCAGTAATATTTCTCCTTTTTAGCTATAACGTTTTAAGAAGTCTATTGTGTTAACCCTCTTATTTCCTTTAAATGTGAGTTATGGCGGTATTGATGTTAATCATTCTTCAATGTGTCTTGCTTGTTGTGATAGCAAGTTGAGAAAGAATGTATTTGGTTCAGGTAGGTGGGCAAACAATGATAATTAGAAAACGTTGTTAAAAATGGCCAGTCAAAATAAACTGTACAAAAAATACATTTTGGATGTTGATACCAATAATCAACTCGGGGACCTTAAGTACTGGTTAAACTGTATGCATGCTCAACAGGGGATTACTTGTTTGTAATTAAGCACAAAACTACACAAGGGGCTATCTATGATCTGCCCACCGGGGGTATCAAAACTCGGTTTCTAGCGTTGTAAGTCCGCAGACATCCCGCTGTGTCACTGGGGGCTCTACAGGGGAAACATGACTACACAATATAGCCTATGCGTCAGTAGGTCAGCACTAATTTGAAGGATGTAGGCGTAGTTACACTAGAAAATTTTCTACGGTTTTGTTTAGGCTAAACTGTTTACTCTACATGATTGGAAAATCGCAATCATGTGGATTGCTCCGTATGTTTTTCTGACGTTTGAGTAGATTAGAATAACTCACCTTATATTAACTTACGTCAGGCATCGAGAGTTGTTCAGTTGCTCTGTAAAAATATCCCCATAACAGAAGTTTTAAGTATTCAGTTTAAAAAAAGGAGATTTTAATAAAAATCTAAACTTCGCAATAGAACTATATTCTTCATAAATTTGAATACAGATCTTTAGAGCATGTCTAGCCCACATTTTCCTACTAATTAAGGCTCAAGCACATCTAATCTCATTGGAATGTAAAGAAACTTTCGCGGAACTACTTTCTGTGAAATAGGTTCACAGGAAAATTAACTTTATATAAATAGTAATGTATCATCGCTGTTCACTTCACCATTAGTTTGAATCCATTCATTCTGACGATAACCAGTCTCTTGTTAAAAACAAGTGTATCTGTAAAATCCCGGCTTTATTAGAACGTTATAACAATTAAAATCCCAGCTTTATTTGAACGTTATAACAATTAAAATCCCAGTTTTATTTGAACGTTATAACAACTAAAATCCAAGAATGCTGACATTTTTACTAGACTAATACTTTATAAGCTCTAAACAATGATAAAATTTTTATTGAAATGGAGTATTTACTTGTTTACACTCACAAAAAAGAAACCAATCATTCTATAGGTATTTGAAGAACTTGTAGTATTCCGCCACAATTTAATTCTTTGTATTGTTAGCCGACACTAGGCAGCTGGTACATAATTGAATAGAGTTGTTTAAATAAAAAGTTTAGAGAGCAGTATGAGTTGTTTTGCAGTATAAGGTGAATGCATGTATTTTAGAAAGTCAGAAAAATTGTGTTTTTTCTCAAATTAGGTAAAAGGTATCAACTGCAAATCTATAATAAATAAAATTAATAGTATATTAGGACTGTTCTTTATGACAGATATTTCAGTATTAATTATAAAAACGTCAGAGAATCGCGGCATGCAGATCACTACTTATATCAACCTGATGAAGAATTTGAAGTTAATATACTATAGAAATGGTTAAAAGAAGTACTATTTTTATCGTGTTTCAGTAACGTTAATTTTACCCGGATGTATTGATTTACATTTTATTTGTATAATAAGTGACCACGGATGTCGAGGCTTTATTAATTCGCAGGCTGACTAACATAGATTTACAAATTTAGTCTGCACGCTCAAATTTATATCTTGCGAATAAAAAACACCATAGACCAAATTGGAGACACGAGTTTTCGTTATTTATATTAATATTTATAGGATCAGCAGGGCCAAGGTCCGACAAAAAATACAACTTAACATACATCTATTTGATTTGATACGTCACTCCAGGAGAAAAAAATAACTCGGGATGCTACGTGCAAATTATTTTTAAAATGCGTACTGTTTCGTCTGTTGTTTAGGTTATCACATTTCAGATATATTGTGCGGCCGAGTAGGATTCATTAACGCATTTTAGCTTTACGTGTAGGAGTCAGCAAAGGATATATATTGGTTTGGGGTTCGTTTGCGCAGGCAGTCAGTGTTCACAAGATGAGCAGATCATTCTTAACAACTGAATTAAAGTAAATAATGCTTTTTGTTAATTTTCTCCAAGTAAGAATTAATAAATGAAAGAGTCTTTCAATGAGAGCTCAAAATAAAATATATTTTAATAAATATCGTTCAAGAGTAGTAAAATTTAAAATAAATTATGTTATATATAAAACATTTATCGATTTGTGTATAAGCAGTATCTCATGATTATTGTTCGTTATATTTTTACTATGATTCAGCTTATATGTTTAAGATAACCAAATGTTTGTGTTGGAGAAGATGGTTAACAGAACCTATTACTTAATAAGAAAAAGAGTTTCTTATTGTTTATTTGCAATTAAGTACAAAGCTACATAATGAGCTATCGGTGCTCTGCCCACCACGGGTATCGAAATCCGGATTCTAGCGTTGTAAGTCCGCAGACATACCGCTGTGCCACTGGGGGGCAGAGTTTCTTTAATACAGAGTTGAGTGAATGAATAGCTAAAAAAGTATTCTGAGTATTTGCGTTTGAGTATATATGATATTTATATTTTACGCACTTGAAAAAATACAGTGTGGTCGGATCACCTTGGCTATAAGGAACTATTACTTTTACAGAATGTTAATATAATAAATTAACTTTCACAATATATTTTTTTAATCGAAGGTTAAATAAATGCATTCAAAATTAAGTGAAACTACGATATTACTATAAAACAAAATAAAAAATCACGTACACAAAGTTCATTAGGTAAAACAGATTAACTACATTTAGTAATTATAATGTAGTTAATCTGTTTTTAGTTATTATTTAAAGGAACTAAATTAAGTCTTTAATAGGCACAGGTAAGACATGGTAATTATAGTACACCAAATGTGAGTCACTCCTACACTGATAATAGCCTATACCAGTACATTAAACACACAGACCTATAAGACAGATTCTTGATATAGTGAGAAATGAGTATCAATAAAACACTTGGAGATAAGAAAATGGAAAGAGATTATTAAGTCACTATGATTAACAGATAAGAAAATGGAAATAACTTATTAAGCCACTATGATTAACAGGTAAGAAAATGGAAATAACTTATTAAGCCACTATGATTAACAGATAAGAAAATGGAAAGAGATTATTAAGTCACTATGATTAACAGGTAAGATAAGTTAATCATAGTGACTTAATAAGTTCTTTCCATTTTCTTACCTGTTAATCATAGTGACTTAATAATATCTTTCCATTTTCTTATCTGTTAATCACAGTGACTTAATAATCTCTTTCCATTATCTTACCTGTTAATCATAATGATTTAATAAGCTCTTTCCATTTTCTTACCTGATAATCTTAGTGACTTAATAAGCTCTTTCTATTATCTTACCTGTTAATCACAGTGACTTAAATAGCTCTTTCCATTTCCTTACCTGTTATCTTAGTAACTTAATAAGCTCTTTCCATTATCTTACCCATTATCTTAATAACTTAATAAGCTCTTTCCATTATCCTACCTCAAAATAGAAACGTAATAAGGGTGTATTTACTTAGCTTTACTAATTGCCAGGCTGATTTTTTAAGTTTCGCTTTAAATACATAGCTTACTCTGATCGTAAGTTAATAGTAATGACTTATCCATTCTAATTTCATTATCTTACCTGTTACTCTTAGCGGCCTGACGGCCAAGCTCCTTCCATTCTCCACACTGAGAAAGCATAGCTCAGTCGCTCGTGGGCAACATAGCTGCAAGAACTTGCCAGTTTGACATCGTGCTCATCCTCCTTGAGGACTTGGTACAAGAAATCTATGTAGCGGGCAGCGAGTTTCAGCGTCTGTATCTTGCTCAGTTTGTCGGATGGCAGGGTGGGAATGATCTTCCGTAGGGCGGCGAAGGCTTCATTCAGATTTTGTGTTCGCTGTCTCTCTCTCACGTTAGCTAGTAAACGCTGACTCTGCATTTCCTCGAGACTCTGACAACCACGCTTTCGTGCTTTTTTTGGCTCGCAATGTCCGTCCACATTTTCGTCTTCACGATTACTGTGATGTCTTTTGCGTTGAGCTCGTGGAAGTTCATGAAATAGTCCTTTAGACGTGATAGCAGAAAATGTTTGAAAAGGACATATTATTTCGTGTTCATAATGCTGACTAGTTTGCTTAAGAAGAGCAGCAACTGATGAGAGAGAGAATGCTGACTGGTCTAAAGCCTGTTGATCGACTGTTGTCAGGTCTGGATAATTTAACAAAGCACTGTAGGAGATCTGAGACATTTCTGCGGCCGGGGAGTTACAGGGAGTTGTGGATTTCTGGCCGTTTGACATCGCTGGAAAGGGAGACATATCAACGTTAGGCCCGGATGGTGACAGGCTGTCTTCCTCGCGCTTCCCAGTTCTGCGTCGGATCTCGTGAAATAATGGCACGTGTACACTGACAAAACGCAGACGTTAACTAACCTGCGGCTATCTCGAAGAACGTGTTGTCAAACGCTTAAGCGGGGTTTGTGTATACACGTGATAAATTTGTTCTATACAACAATGACTCTGAGGAAGTGTCTGTCTAACCGCCTTTTTCTTTTTCTTAAGCTTGTTGTAGAGACACGATGCGGACCAATCAAGATACACAGTGCACGTGAGGTCGCTCTCGAACCAATCACGGAGTCTAAGAATTTCCTTGAGATGTTAGATACAGATTAATAGAATTTTGAGATATAGCAGAGAAAAATCGTATATATATTTCAACTTTAAATATATATATATACCTATTATACTGCAGTTTTTCTCGCCTATAGCAGTATGAGTCGAGGTATGGTTATTAGGTTTATTTCATTGTTCGTATGTACACATATGTTTCAAAATTGAGAAACAAATCATTTATCTAATAATGGTTGAAGACGGCTTGAATGGGTAATGAAGAAAAACTTTAATATAATTAATATAAGTTTAACATAACAGCAAATGTACAACGTTTCGACAAGGTTTTGTCATCATCAGGTACAGTACCTGATGACAACAAAACCTTGTCGAAACGTTGTACATTTGCTGTTATGTTAAACTTATATTAAAGTTTTCTTCATTACCCATTCAAGCCGTCTCCAACCATTATTAGTCTCAAAGTGGGTTCCTCGTCATCGAAATCATTTATCTGATTTCCACTGTAGTGAGACAACGAATCTCTCACTTTGGCGAAATTACAGATGGCGTCTGAAATCCCTATCCCAAGAACAGTAAAATCAAAGGAAGTTTCATTAAAATTTGGCATATGTTACGCATTTATAGTAATAATAAATAAAGAATGATATTTATTAGATTGTGAAAAAACATAATAAAAATCAACTACCTTGGATCATACAGCTAAAACACGTTCGAGTTTATATGTAAGTCACATTGTAAGCTCCGTGACTCTAACGACTTCGGGTTTTTCTTGCAGAACAATGCTTTTAAGAGGAACGCCCGTGACAATTACATAATTCTCTTCAGAATATATATGGACTGTTGAGTTGATTTACTGTATTACACTTTACATTTAGAATAACAGTTGCTATGTTATCTGATACAACCCTCAGACAGGTGATTTAAGTATTTTCTGTATATATGTGATGTGTTTGTTCATGGAAAAAATACTAAGGCTTGTGCCCACCATGCCGGCTGGTTACCTAAACGTGTTCGGCAATTCAAAACTAGGGAGAGCCCATCGCCAACTCTTGGGCTTTCTTGACTAACGAAGAGTGAGATTGATTAACCATCACATTATATTGCCCCCATTGTTGAAAGCCCGAGCATGCAGGGTTTCGATCCCATAGATAGTGTGTCTAGCGCCCAAACCACCAGGCCATATCAGGCCCAGCATTATATGACTTAGTAGATTGCATTGTGCTTTCTATACTAATATGAACTGTTTAACTGCATCACGCTTTCCTATACATGTATATGCTATGTTTTCCTTTATGTATTTGTATTGGTAGACTGTGCTGTGCTTTCTATACAAATATAAGTTTTTCAAGTGCATTACGATGTCTTATGTTTTCCTTTATGTATGTGTATCGGTAAACTGTATTGCGCTATCCATAAAAATACAAATTGAAGAAATTAATATTTTTTTAGCTTTACGAATATGAAATTCTATAGATGATATGTTTTATTTTCCTATTTGTATATGATTTGTTATATCGTATTATATTTTCCATGTCAATATTTATCTGTTACTTTATGTTAGACTTTTTTTTAATCTGAGTTTATGCGTATGTTTAGAAAATCCTAACTAGCCTATTGAAATAACCTATCAGATTTGCTCATCCGTATCTATTTCAGTAACCGTGGGTTTTAAGTTATGTTGTTTTTTTTCTACTGTATAGTTAAATAAAATTTCTCTACTTTTCTCACTGTTTGCTGCTCCCATAAAACAGCGAAGCGCCCACATTTTGTCGAGTTCTGGTATTCGCACTTTAGTGTTCACTGTGAAGAGACGCGTCATTTTAGATTTAGTGGTCACCGTGAAAGATCGCTTTGTGAAGCACTTTTGAACATGCTATGGGAAGACGTTGGTCATTGAAGGGTCATTCTAAAGAATGAGTCATTACCTAGAAGCTCCAGAGATTTAGTTTGAACTATGCATATAACAGAGTGTTTTTGTATTATTTCACCCTGGCGGAGTGTGATTTATGTCATTAACACGAGATCTCAGGATATGAATGTGCGTCGAATAGAAGATAGCACATAAAAAACAGGATATTTCCGGTTAAAGAGCTGATCAAGATTCACTATAAGTTTATTAGATATTATGATATAAAAAATTCCAACAATATGTTCCTACAACATAACAAAGTGATTTTTTTATTTATTTCACATATGTTTTATCATGTTTATAGTTAATACTTCAATTACAATCCCTGAAGAATGTCGGGTTTTACGAATAAAATACATATAGGAGCCTAGCTCTAAAACAACGTTCTTCTGCCTCCAGAAATTATATTAAATCCTGTTTTACTAGTTTTTTCTTTGAAGAAATCATCAATACATGTAAGTTTATGTGCACGCATGTAATAATTAGTAAGTCGCCTCGTTATTTCAAGACTCTACAGATATGAACTGTTTTTTTTATGGAGAATGAAGATAATATTACAAATACTTAGAAGTTTTAGTAAACCTTGCATCTGACTGGAAAAAAATCCAGCTTTTCATTGGTGTATAGAATCCATCAATTGTTAAAGCGGTACGTGTTCAACAGGATAGATAACTTGAGATAATCCTCTGTAATCTTCTATATTTCAGCATCCAGGAAGATCTCTTGTACTTAACCGATCGTGCAGTTCCACTGTTTAAAAATTGACACTTATGCGGAAGATCAAATTTATACACATATTTCGTACTGAAATTTCAACTTGTGAAATTTAACTGAGCACGTGATTCACGCCATCTCCTTATTTCTGAGAGCTCTTCTCATACCAGCGATTATATCACATCTATAATTATACAACATTATTCTCACACCACCAACATATACATTTATTAGAAAACCAGTTTGTGGGTATGCATGAAAAAGTTTGATCACAAATTTTTGTCTGCAGAGTAACTACGAGTGCAAAAATTTTAAACTCCGAAAATCCATTATTTTGATTGAGACTGTACTGCTTTTATTCGAAAAAAATCATATACTCTCAATGTCACTGAATTAAGCCTGGAATTAAAGCTGTACGTCCAGAAATTTAAAATTCAGTATTTCTATGCGACTATAGATTTTTACAGACAGGCCCTCTCAGAGGATCAGAGAGGCTCGGGCCACTTCTATTTTTTGAGGCCCCTGACTAAAATATAAAAAAAAATATTATAGCACATGAAAATAACATAAGATAATCATTAACCAAAATAAAAGTGAAACATAATTTGAATATTTTTTTATGGAACATATATTTATTAACCTTATTTAACATTTAATAAATGCTTTCTGACTTTTTTTTTTCAATCCATAAAAAGAAGTCGCGAAACTTAACAAATGCAAAAGAAAAATGAAACAATTCTGCCAGAATATAATTAGAAAAAAACGAGTGCAAGGTTAACTTAGCATTATATATAATTCAAAAATATGTTCTAGATTAAAAAAAAAGCCTTGTAACAGTATAATTCTTGGATAAAATGAGAGAGAGAAACGTTATGACTTAAACAAAACTGCAAATAATTGCAGTTAACTTATTTAATCAAGATCATACCATTACGGTTGTTCTTCGTGTAACTGATCATACATATATTGCCCTAGACCAGTACAGTGTCTGATGAACCCTGGTATTGACGAAAGGCCCCAATGCCACTGGATATGGCATATGTAGTGTGGATCACATATTATTCTTGGCTTTCACTCATAAGGTCTTAGAAATAATAAATGTAACAGTTTGTTTCAGCGACACGCTAGTATTAAGATAACATAATTTGGTAAAATAATCTATACGCTGTTTTGATACTTGGATGCAATTTACTAAAACATAAGACTTACTTTCATTTCCTAAATCGCATTCTTATTTTGTGTGACTGCATATCTTTCTCGAGGTAATACCCAGTTCACCGCAATTCACTAAAGTGTCTTTCGTACAAACTATGATTTAATTGAAATTGTTGTATGTTTCTGAATACTAGTGAGGTACATTTTTCCCTAAAAGGAATGAACAGGTACATGGATTAGATTTCTTTTAACGACAAAGTATGTGTTTGTAAATTGTTATATATTTACACTTAAAGGAATGATATGAAAGTTGTGATAAACCCCACAAGAACAAGATAACTCCGCTATATCATATTCACACCATTCGGTTGGTAGTTGTCAATCATCGCAATGTAAAGAAAGTGACCTCCAAAAAACGAAAGACAAACATTTAACTTTATTGACAGCAAGGTGAACAGAATGAAAAGAAATCTTCAACTAGATGAAAATAATAATACAAAAAGTAAAAAAAAATACATACAAGATTAACTCGTTGGTCATAAAGGCCCAATGAGAACACGGGAACAGCCTGAAATGATAACAACTAAAGCGCTACAACGTACCTCAATTCATAGGTAATAGTAGATTTATGATAACAACTAAAGCACTACAACGTACCTCAGATCATGGGTAATAGTAGACTTATGATAATAACTAAAGCACTACAACGTACCTCAGATCATGGGTAATAGTAGACTTATGATAACAACTAAAGCACTACAACGTACCTCAGATCATGGGTAATAGTAGACTTATGATAACAACTAAAGCACTACAACGTACCTCAGATCATGGGTAATAGTAGACTTATGATAACAACTAAAGCACTACAACGTGCCTCAGATCATGGGTAATTCTGACTTAAATCAAATTTAGAAAGTAAATGAATTTTGTAATAAATAGAATATCACATATTGAAGATTAAAGGTTATGTTATAAAATATTTCAAAATAATATTATTCCTTTAAACAAGATAAGTGTTGAAAGGTTTCAAAGGAACACATAATACTATCAGTTACATTCTATTTTATAGAGATTATATAGTCTAATGAT